TGTACATTATTATAGCTTATTCAAGCAGACAAACACAGTCTTCTGATTGGTTGTTTCTTGCTCAAGGTTATTCTGTACCGCTTGTGACTGGTTTCTCAGAAACTTAAGCCGTATATCTGCGAGTCGTATTTGCCCACGTTAATTCTGCTGTGATTGGTTGTTGAATCAGTCTTGTCCATATTTTCCCACGGCCAATATTAGCGACATAGACATTGACGTAAATTAATGTCTACCAATTGGTTAGCAGCCTGCTATCATCACAAGGGGACTTACTACATATATATATATACAATTGTACAACTTGAGAATGATATCAGCGAAAAGAGGAGTAACTCTTCTCTGAATGACTTTTTTTTATATACGAATGGCTGTGAAGCCAACAAAATACCAACATATTTGAGATGAAATGTGATGATAGATGGTTATCATGGCTGATCATCAGTCATTGAACCGTCTGTATTTATTCAGGTAATACAATATAAGTAGATCAGAATTCACCTTATTGATGGTTAGTTAAATTAAGTTAAATAAAATGTCTAACCATACTGTAATAATTGAAAATAATCAGCAACTTTGTTTTTCTCTTTTGACGTCGTTTTTTTCGTATTGATAACTGAAGTCAATTGTTTCCATCATTGTTTTCAAGAACTGTACTGGAATTGACTCCTTTTGTCGCATCTTATGTTAAAAAATTTTAATTATTCGATATATTTAAGTAGGTTAAGTGAGATAAATAAATACTGATGAAAACAGTTTGTAAATGAAACTGGTTAAAAATAGAATAAACAATTTGATTTTGGTGTGTTCTCTGTCTGAGCTGGTTGATGGTTTAATTGTGAAGCTTTCGTTGTCCCCCAGCCCCACCCCCTCCCCCATCTAGAAAACATCGCTTCACTGCAGGTTTTAGTATGAAATCAACTTATTTGAATCCTTCATGAATGATGATGACATAATTCTATCTGTCTGTCTGGATTCAACATAGAACTTGGCACCGAAGTGCAGCAGTTCGAGTTGCCACGTTCCAAATAGCACACAGAGGTAGACAAGAAGATGAGTGAAGAGAATCAATAGAGTTTGACAAGTATAAGAGTGAAACAGAATGGGTAATGGTAGAAAGCAATATGAAAGATTACAGAGACTGAATACATCTGCGCCATTGACAACGATTTTGAGCCATGTCACCTATTGTCTCCAGCCATTGATTCCTAGAGTCAGTCCCGAGGGCCCCAACCCGGGAGTCTGCATCTCCCTACCTGACTCAGTTTAACTGTCAAGGATTTCATGGATTGATGAGGCCATGTTTTTGTTTGGCCACCACTGGCTCTTTTCCAACCTGCACCTATATCAGCTAGCAAAGCCCGTCGGGGGAGGCGGTGGTTAGGCATGCGCAGCACGTGACCTAGCCATCTTAGTCTATGTAACTTTATAGCCTCGTCGATTGATTTTCCCTCTTTGCCCAACACTCTACGCCTAACATCAACATTACTTATCTTGTGAAACCACCTAACGTGAGACAGAGATCGCAGACATCCATGATCGAAGGCAGTCAACCTTTTCATGTCTTCAACGCGTATTGGCCATGTTTCAGAGCCATAGAGAAGGATGGAGCGAACTGATGAGCAGTACACGCGTCCCTTGGTTGATAGCCGGATGTCACGCCTACGCCAGAGATGGTGTAAGTCAGCGAAAGCAGCTCGAGCTTTTTGGATCCGTGCTGAGATTTCGTCGCCAATCAGTCCGTTGTTGCTGATACAACTCCCCAAGTAGGTGAAGTGGTCAACATGTTCTATCACTTCACTCCCTATCACTAAGCTAGGAGTTGACGTAGTCCAGTCCTGTAGCAGCATCTTACATTTTGCAGGGGCGAATCGCATGCCAAACATACGAAGATTGCTGCTCAAGGTGTTCAGAAGGTTTTCTATCTCCCTACTGACAAGCTTTTTCATCATTCATTCTTTGTTAATTTACGTCTCTATTGGTCATTCCCGGTTGGCTTGGAATTTGAACTTTCTTGCCTTGTGATTGATAATTTACTAGCTGGTAAATCTGGTCTATAGTAGTAATGTTGTAGAAATTCCCTAACTGCATTTTTGATGTTTCTTTGGACTGTTTAAAAATTCTACAGATTCCCAATCAAATTTATTATTACTAATTATTCCCTTGCGTTCCGAGGGGAACATGGGGTTGGCTTCAACAACACATCTCCACATTGTTGTATTTTATGCCGTTCTCTTCAGCCAACTGGGTCCACGATAGCCCATAATCTCTCATCTCCTCCACTTCACACGATATCCTCAATGTCAACCTCACACTGACGACACACTCGTTGCTTACCATTTGGATTCCATTCGACCCGTGGTCTGCATTGCGCGTCATGTCACCCAACGGTCTCCTTTATGGTGTGTGCGCAGTCTATCTCCTCTTACATACTTATTGAGCATTAGGTTCTTGGTTTGTTTGTTGCCGGTCATTTGATCTTCAGTATGGAGCTAGCGAAGGTATGTCACTTGGATATCCTTTTCGTGACTTGCTAACGGAATGTTTATTTGCAATTTGATTTGATTTCTATATACTGAAATTATCCACGCCTTATATGAAAATCATCATTTTCCCGGACCTTCCACGCTGTCCCACTTCTGCCTTTCATACTGGGTTTTTTTGGGTCTTCTTTTTGTGTACCTTATGTTTTACCATAATACTGGTTGGTTAATTTCCCCTCTCTTTAAGGTGCAATATATCTTTCCACTATTTGACATTTTTGTTCTGATAATTGTCTCTTTATATAATACTGATAAATCTCGTCAGTAGCACACGTCACACCAGTTATCAGGAGGTCACTATCTTAACCCAGAACATTATTTCACCTTTCGAGTACTGGACAGCTGTTTCGTCAGTCTAGTTTGGGGCTCTTCATTAGTACACACCCACCACCAGGATCCGAACGAACAACCTCCCGCTTACAAGACAATCTCGATGTGGTTGTGTTCTCTGAGATGGATAGTTGATCTGCGAAGCTTTCATCGCCCTACTCAGTAGGCGACATCTTCAGTGCATACTTCAATTCGTTGAAGTGAGCTTTTAGATTTCTCCACAAGTTTATTAATCATCTCTCCTCGTCGGTGACCTTGAACGTGATTGGTTGTTTTCGTGTGTTTTCACACCTTCTGGGTTACTTGTATTGGAACTGATTGTTTCTTTGACTTGGACTTTGACCCTTTGTGTGTGAGGTTTCTTTTATATCGGTTGATCTTCGGTAGAATTATGTTTTCGAGCCTTTGCATCAGTGCTCCTGCAATCAAACCTGATATGGGCGGTTCCATGGGTGTTCCTTTGACTTGTTTGATCAAACCCAAGATTTGGACCCGCTACGTCGACGACACATTTGTAATAATCAAAAGAAACGAGTTAGATAAAACTCACAGCTTAATAAACAACGTCGCCAGCGATATCAAATTCACAAGAGAAGAGGAATCCGAGAACAAAATCCCATTTTTGGACGTCTTAGTTAAGTGAACAACCCCAAGGAATTAGAAACTCAAATTTATAGAAAATCAACTCATACAGACTAAATCCTGAAATACACAACAGCAACAATCCAATAACACACAAAAGGAATTGCATACAAACACTATTCAAGAGGGCCAGCCAGGACTCATTGCAGCACTCCCACCTTAATGAAAATTGAAGAAAAGTATCTCATGGACGCCTTTCAAAAGAATGGATATCCACGGAATTTCATCAAAAGACATATACCCCCAAGCCAACCTATCAAACCAAAAGTCACCAAGGAAAGCACAAAGAAAATCGCCTTACCATATATAAAGGATATCTCAGAAATCACAACAAGACTCTTCAAACCTTTAGGAATTGACGTCGTACACAAACCAACAAAGTCGCTGCACTCAATTCTATGTCAACCAAAAGACTCAACAGCAAAAGCAGACAAAACCAACATCATCTACAAAACAAATTGTAACAAGTGCGAAAAACACTACATTGGCCAAAACTGGACGTCCCCTTCATCTTCGTATCCACGATCATAAGCTAGCCGTCAAAAGACATGATATCCACTCCCTCATATCGCCTCACTGAATACAGACAACCACGGACATCAATTCGACCGGGACAACCAACGTTGAAATATTAGGCAGAGGAAACAACAAGAATGCTAGAGAAGTTTTAGAAGCCTGTCTGGTATTCCAGTGAATCATCAATCAATCAATAGACACATCGAGATAGACAAAATTTATCAACCGATAAGAAGAAGGAAATCTCACACACAATGGGTCAAAGTCCAAGTCAAAGAAACAATCAGTGTCAATACAAGCAACCTAGAAGGTGTGAAAATACACAAAAACAAAAACGACCAATCACATGCAAGGTCACCAGGAGAGATGATTAATAAACTCGTGGAGAAATCTAAAAGCTCACTTCAACGAATTGAAGTATGCGCTGAAGATGTCGCCTACTGAGTAGGGCGATGAAAGCTTCGCAAATCAACTATCCAGCTCAAAGAACACAAGACTACATCAAGATCATCCAGCTGAGCTACAAATGTTCTCTGTCATATCCACAAGACAATCTATCTTGTAACTCTTTCAGCCACTGGGACTTGACTCCTTATTGATCAGCCAGCTGCTAACAATTCAAGATACGGCACAAGCACTAGACAGTGTTAACGGCGAGTATTTGGCCTCATATTCGACCGTGTGTACCCCGACTAGTCACAACTTCCCACTAGAACCCAGTCAATTACCTACCTGAAGAGTCTTAAAGTAGTCCAACTAATCAGCTCTCTGGTAGCACTCTCAGCTGGTTTTCCAGTGGTTCTCTAATCAATGTGAGCTCATGATGAGATTCAAATCCCCGCAAACCTACACAAAACATTTTTTTAGAATTTTTCACCTTTATTATAACATAAGTATGAGTTTAACAGTATGTCACTTATTCACAATGTAATTTTGTCTTGTTTTTTTATACTAAAATGTATGTCATTCAAGTTTGTCCCTTTACCACAAGCTCCTAATTCAAATTGTTCAGAAGAATTATATGAACTCGTTGATGATGAGCATAAATCGATAAATCAAACAACAGGTCAATGTAATCAACCAGTGAAGAAACTGAAACCACCAGGGAAAAAGTTAAATATGGTAAGTATACCTTATTTGTTTTAACAATCAATCATTCAGTGGGATTTTTATAGCTGGTGATATTTGATGAAATATATAAAAGGCTCATTTCAGCGCTTTAAGATTGTGTCATCTTCGACACGGTTATAATATGCGACCATTCATCAAAAATAATACAGCAGTCTGTTTCGTGAAAAATTGCTGTTGAAATTGTAAAACACAAAAACATTAGAGGTTTGACGATATTAGATAGTTGGAGGCAATTGGCCAAAGTAAACCTCGGATCTAGGTTTTTCGTACTAGTTGACACTCGTCAGCAAGGCGTGTCTGCAACCTTGAAGGAACTCATATCCTTTCTGAGATTCGAACCCGCGTCACCCAGTGCTGCAGTCAGAGACGTTATCACTGAGCTATTCAGGCTTACGATTGACCTCCTGTAGAACTGTAGTGGGTAGTTTGATTGGACACTAGTAACTAGTGTGGTGCAGACTGAATTCTATCAGTTAGTCAGGTTTGCAATGTGGCCACCATTCTAGGTAGCTCGCCATCACGGTGCACATTGATTTGATGATATTAGACGGTTGGAGGCAATCGATAGGAAGCCTCGCCTGACTTAGGTTTCGCGCCAGTTGACTCTCACCGGTCAGTCATAAAGGGGTATCTGCTGCCACCTTGAAGGAAATCATGTTCCTACTGATATTCGAACCCACGTCACCCAGTGCTGCAGTCAAAGACGTTACCATTGAGCTATTCGGGCTCGCGATCGACTTCCTGTGCACCGTGATGGTGAGCTACCTAGAATGGTGGCCACACTGAAAACCTGACTGAGTGATAGAATTCAGTCTGCACCAAAGAAATGACTAGACATGCCATGCTAGTTACTAGTGTCCAACCAAACATTAGAGGTTATTGATATTCAAATAAAATATGGGCAGTATGCTACAGTATAATTCCATTATGGAGAAGATTACTAATTTGATAAAGTCTCAGAGTATCAGGCAGGAATATTTACTGATTACTACGTCTCGAGCATGACTTATCGCCATTTATAATCATATCAAATTAAAGCACTACTCACACAACTTTCTGACTTCGTTTATGTAATAGATATTAAGACTTTAATTCATCCTATCCATTATCTGTGAAGACAGGCTTAGTTAAGTGTGAGTGTTTGTTATATTACTAAATATCCTATAAAATTCATTAGGAAGATCAAAAAAGGTCATAAACAAAGTAAAAATAATGGTGAAACTAACTAATGATAACATAAATAAAAGAGAATATAAGGCATCTACAATAGGTTTACCATATAAGTAGGGAACTTCTGAGGCACTACGTAGGATTTACAATAAAACAGGAATTAGGGTGACATTCACATCTACAAACTCACTCAAGTAGAACACGCTTTGTAGGCTAAAGGACCCTGTCGGTTAGCCCAATTAAACAAAATAATATAATTTACAAAATACCTTGCGATGACCGTGAGTTAAGTCAACTATATAGGTCAAACCAGTAGATCGGGGTAGTCACGTTGTCAGAACATAAGAATTTAGTGGCTAAGGTTAGAATGATTGATCCTCCGAAGATAAGTAATTTAGAAAAATATCTCAGTGATACTACTGCATGCATTGATACACAACCACACAATAGAGTGGGACAAAGTTACAATTCTAGAAAGTAACATAAGTTGGTGGATAGTGAGACAGCTTGATTACTGTATCTTGGTTCGCCGAGTCTACACCGAACACAATACATACAACAGGAATGACTCATCACGAATACCGGAAATATGGAAAATATTACTAACAATCAAATCAAGAGATCAAAAGAAAGTAGAATCATATAAACAAAGTTATAAGGTTGTGTGAGTAACTTGATATGATATGAATATGAACTGCAGTAATAAACTGTGCTCGATACTGGGTCATTAGTCAATATATTACACTGTATAACACTGTGAGACTTTATTAAAATTTAAAAAAATACTTCTCCATATTAGAATTAGAGGATTTCTAATAGAAATGTTATTGGATGGAGGATTTCATCATGAGCTGACATCAGTTAGAGAACCGTTGGAAAACCAGTCGGGAGTACTGGACAGCTGTTTCATCAGTTTAGTTTGGGACTTTTCAGGGTTTGAACTGAAGAATTTCTGCTTACAAGGCCAACAAGCTCGTAGACAATTAAGCCACTGGGACCCAATCGATCCAGTGGCCAGTCTATGAATTATAACTTCTGTCAATTCATGACATAGCATGACCACTTCGCAATGTCTTCTTCAATGAGTTACTGCCTCACCTTCAACCTGTTATTATCATTGTTTTTGAGATAGAGCTAGTTGGCTATCGTAGACTGGAAGAATGAATTAACCATCACTATTTGTAGTTACCTATTGGCCTCTGATGAATCCACTCTGATTATACAATCCTCTTACTCTGTGGAACAGAGACCAGTATATGAACGTATAATACACGACTACAATAAACTAGCAACCTCTTAATCGAATAAACAGAAAATTTATAACACCTAAAACATGTATTCCTCCAAACGTCACAAAATATCGAATGCCTGTCCTTCCTATTCACATGTCATGCATACAGAGTACACTGAGAACTGAAGGACTAATCACTAGAATATTCTGTGAGGAAGTGATGGGTTTCAAAACCTGATTAAATCAAAAGGTAATGTCAGTCAAAGAATATTTCGAGAACAAACAGCGCTGAAGTGTCGTTATTGCTACAATGATGACCCCAATGGCAACAGCTAGTACCACGTCTAGGTCTCATGTATGGCACACTAATGCTTGGACAGCTGAGACGAACTAACCTGTCTTTTGTATCAATTATTCCAAAGAGGTATTTAGTTGCTCACGGATGTGACAATGGAAGACGAACACTTCAGAAGTCAGAAAAACATTTCAACTGTTAGCAGATTGTAATCTAGAATGATCCGTAAAAGTTTTCAAAACTTTCCAACATTGAAGTCAGCTAGGCTGTGTAGCTTGCATACTCAACTCAAAGTCACTTAAAGATTCCTTCATGAGTGGAGCAATTTTTATTAAATGAAACGATATTATCACAATTGAATTTTTTTGATTTTCCCGTCGATTGATTGGACCGAAATGCTCGGTCTCAGGTTGACATGTCGGCTTCTTGTGCAGATGCTTCGACGATGTCTCGGGATTTGATTTGTATACAATTGGTGGATGGTGGCTAGCAGTGGAATCCAGGATGCGCATTTCGTCCTATTTGGGACTCGTCAGCTGGATGTACCTGCATTTCTCAGTGAGTGATGATGTTCCACCGAGGCTCGAACCCAGTACCAAAGTTTCAAACGCCAAAGCGTTATCCACTAGACCACTTGGGCCACGATAGCCACCTCTTGTGCAACGGGTCATATTAATTATTGAATTGAATTTTTTTGGTTTTCCACCAATTGTACACCAATTAAATACCCAGACATCGTCGAAGCATCTGCACAGGAAGCCCACATGTCAACCTGAGACCGAGCATTTCGGTCCAATCAATCGACGGGAAAATCAAAAAAATTCAATTCAATAATTAATATGACCCGTTGCACAAGAGGTGGCTCTCGTGGCCCAAGTGGTCTGGTGGATAACGCTTTGGCGTTTGAAACTATGGGTACTGGGTTCGAGCCTCGGTGGGAACATCATCACTCACTGAGAAATGCAGGTACATCCAGCTGATGATATTGTCACAAGTTTGAGAAATGACAAAACTGAATGAAAATTGAAAGAGTGAGTATACTCGGTATTCGTGTGTTCTCAAAGCTGGATAGTTTAATCAAGAAGCTTTCATTATGCATTTCTAACAACATCTTCTACACGAAGTTGAGTGTGAGCAAATGTATGATATGAAATTTTACCTCATGGGATCATGAAATGAAAAGTATAGGACTTTAAGTAAGCGAATGTATTCGCAAGGTACCCATTTGAGAAGGAAAACGCTGATAAATCAAGAAATAATAGAAAACTTTGAGCAGTGAGGTACAGCAGATCGGGTGTGAGAAAAAATTCTCGCCAGCAATGATACTGACTAGCGCCATCTACGCTGTATCACACGTGAATTGTCAGAAGTTGGAATTCATGGACTGACCATCGGAATGATGGCTCCCAATAGCTTAATGTTCTACGAGCTAGATCGCCTTGTAACTGGAAGGTCGTGGGTTGGGACCCTGGGAGTGGGGTAGATGCTTACTACTGAAGAGTCCCGAACTAGGCTGACAAGCGTCTGGCTGTTCAATCCTACAAGGTGGTTTTCAAGTGGTTTGCCAGCTGATATCAGCTCATGATGAAATCCTGTAAAACACCAGAAGGATTCTTGTTGCGATGAAAATGTCTGTATTCCAGGGTCTCATAGGGGAAGAAAATTGTTTGAAACATCTCTAATTCGGTTAAATCACACGACTTCTTAGATTTGATGTTCCTCAACTTCAATAAAGTACTGTACTTGCTATATACTCCAATATTTCACAAACTATCTCAATCAAGCAAGTCTTTCAAAGAACCAAATAAATAATGATGATTTTTGAAGGATACCAGATCATAATAGCAAAACTAATACATTCTGAATGAGAATTGTTACCCAGAACGATTTATTGCAAAATCTATGAATCCTAGACCACAAAAGCCGCCCATGCTTAGCATCCCGAAAAACTACTCTACATGAACCTTCAATTCAATGGAGATTTATCTGCGGAAACACTGAAAAATCGACTGTCCCTTTCACTTAAGAAAACCTTCTTCGCAGCTGGACTACGGCTAACCTTCTCCACGAAACCTATGATTCGTATGAACGCGAAAGATAAGCTACCACTGCTGACCTCATCAGTGTGTATTTACTAATCTACCTGCTCGTGTGGAGCCAGGTATGTCGGCCATACCCAGCGTTCGCTATCCAAACATATCACCGAACACTTACCAACATGGTTTTACAAAGGAGAAAAACGATGTCCCCACAGCTCTATCTTGGAACATCTGATAGATTCCGGACACTAAGCTACACCCCAAAACAAACTTTAAAGTCGTCTACAAAATACTAAGCATCCTTCCTAAAAGTGTACGAGTTGAACTACTTTAATGCCTAAAACTAATAATGCTAGTCGAATGTATGGTACTATTAAAATACATAAGCCAGGTTACGCCATACGACAATAGTAGATTTTAGAAATACCCCTAATTATGAATTGTCAAAACACTTCGCTCTAATATTATGCCGCATTAGAAATCGTTCAAACTCTAGACTAACTAAGTGATATGAGATGTGTTTGAACAAAGCAAGAACTACATATGAGATGAAAAATAAACTAAACAACATTCAACTAGAGAATGATGAAAAATGGTTAGTTTTGATAGATAACTAGTCTTTATACTAATATACCAGTCAATGTGGCAGCCTTAGAAGCAGTTAAAAAAGAACTAACTGCGGATCCTGAACTCAATCATAGGACAAAGCTGCCTGTTGAAGAAATTATTTTTGGGATTCAGTTATGCCTCATATCTACTATCTTTAAATTCCAAGGTAAAATATATAGGCAAATAGAAGATGTAGCAATGGGATCAACAATATCCCCTATCGTAGCAGACGTATTTATGGACAGCTGGGAAAGAAATGCTCTTAATACGTTTACTCCTACTCCAAAAATATGGTGGAGATATGTGGATGACACTCTCACTCACAGTGTTAAAAACAGAATATATCCCACTCTAGCTTCTTGACACACATAAACACACTAGTGGAGGGAATAAAATTCACATTTGAATCGGAAAATGAACAAGGAGAATTAGCTAGCTATGTTAGATTGTAAAATAAAACGAATAGAAGAAGGTAAACTACACAATAGTGTGTACAGAAAACCAACTCATTCTAATAGATACTTAGACTTTAATTCACCTCATCCATTGACTGTTAAGGCAGGCTTAGTTAAGTGTTTAACAAACCGAGCAGTAGCACTAAGTAGCACAAGAAAAGACCTTAATGACGAACTAAAACAGACAGAAGAGGCTTTGGTGTTGAATAAGTATCCTTTAAAATTCATTAGGAAGATCAGAAAAGGTCAAATGCAAAATAACAATAATAGTGAAACTAGTAATGATAACATAAGTAAGAGAGAATACAATTAGAAATTTACTGTCATACCATATCAGGAGGGGACATCTGAGACCCTACGTAGGATTCTAAATAAAGCAGGCATTAGGGTGGCACTAAAACCTACAAACTCACTCAGTGACAAGCTCCATAGGTTAAAGGACCCAGTTTGTCCCTTTAGGCAAAATAATATAATTTACAAAATACCCTGCAATGACTGTGAATGAGGTGAACTACACAGGTCAAACTAGTAGTAGATCAGGGCTAGTCAGATTGTCAGAATATAAGAATTTAGCTAAGATAAGAATGGTTGACCCCGAGAAGATAAGTATTTTAGAAAATAGCTCAGCAATCGCACTGCTTGCATTGACACACAACCACACAATAGGGTGGGACAGGGTTAAAATTGTAAAAAGTAATCTAGAAAGATGGAGAGAGAGGTTGATTACTGAATCCTGTCTGGTTCATTGAGTCTACACCAAACACATACAATAGGAATGATTCATCACTCATACCTGATATATGGAAAATACTACTGCCAATAAAATCAAGTGAAAAATAATGGAGCTATATAAATGAAGTTAAGAAGTCGTGTGAGTACCTAGATATGATTATGAGCAATAAATTGTACTCGAAACGTCATCAGTAAACATTACTGTATAACACTGTGAGACTTTATCAAAACAAAAATTTACCCATAATGGAATTATACTCTACCACAGTGCACAAGTTTTATTCTTATATTAATGATTCTCAATTGTAATATTTCGCATTTTGAACTTTCTTGTTCTCTACCCCCACCCGATTTAATTTCTACATCTCATTACCACTGTTACTGACTTGACCAACGCTCAATTTCTAGTCATTTATGTCACGTTATCCAACTTAATTGCTCAATTTCAGTTCTAATTTAAATGGCATTATCCTCTACTCCACTTCTACTTAGTCTCCATCTCTACCTGTAATTACCTCTGTTGCTACCCTGACGTAAGTTGAAACATTTTTAGTCAATTATATTACGTCATCTAACTTACTAACTAACTCAATCTTACTTTAGTTGCTGTCTAATTAACCTTGTTTCTATATTGGATCATTCTTGTATTACCTGATCAATTATCTAAACTTGACTAACCTCATGTACACACACAAATAATTATATATAAATGCGATTGTACAGCCATGTGAATGAATTCGTTGAACATCTTTCCTTTTTCACATGACTCAATGGGGATATTTAAGCTACATTCTGAATAAATATGAAAATTTCATTATGAACTGACATTGGTTAGAGAACCATTGTGAAACCTGGGAGTACTGAACAGCTGTTTTGTCAGTCTAATTTGGGACTCTCCATCAATAGGTACCCATCGAGGTTCGAACCGAGGACCCAAATCCCTACAAACCAATACTTGAATATCAATGAGATGCTCACTGGCGACTGCCCTTATCCAGGTAGGTATTTACCCGGGGTTCTAGCGGTAAGTCGTGACCATTAGGGTGCAGCAGGTCGGATGTGAGGACAAATACTCGTCTAAGACATTGGCTAGCAGTTGCGCCATATCATGAATTGGCAAAAGTTACAATTCATGGGTCATTGGATCGGTTCCCAGTGGCCCAATGGTCTACGAGCTTGTCTTGTAACCACAAGATCCTGGGTTCGAACTCCAACGGGGCAAGTGCGTACTGAGGAAGAGTCCCAAACTAGGACGAAACAGCTGTCCAGTGCTCCTAACTGGTTTCTTACAATGGTTCTCTAACCAATGTCAGCTCATGATGAAATCCTGTAACCAATCAACCAATTCCCTACAAACTAATACTTAAATATGAAAATACTTCACAGTTTTATCCTGGACTGATATCAAATTGTTAAGTGGACATCTGAATTTTTATTTTAAGCACTGGGCTATTCACTTTTTTTTCTCTTCTTTCCATTGTTATTTCTTTAAAAGATCAATAGATTTGGTGCTTCATTTCGAGTAATCACTGATAAGAAAGTGAATTCTTTGGTTAACCAATTCAGTAATCATCTAACAACTCCTGGATATAGTCCAGTGAAAGTACCGAATAAGGAGAGAACACTGATTACTGAAAAATGTGATAGCAATCAAGACTATAAAGTAAGGAAGCAGCTTGCATCGATTTTTCCTTCTTCTCATTTTTATAATTATATAACTTTATTATCTACTGTGATGTTATGAATTTAAAATACTGTCCAGCAGGAATTACGTGCTGTAGGTACTTTGATTGATCACTATCTAAGTAAAACGTAGTAATACGCAACTCAAACGCACACACACACACACTCAGACAGAAGTATGAATGTCTTGACAAATGTGACCACTTGGGTCACTAGTGGACGACGCTTTACCATTTCAAACGACTATAACTGGGCTTGAATCTTGGTTGGAACACCGATATTATTGTGATTATTATTACTGTTCCCTTGGGTTCCGAGTGGAATATACGGCGTCAACAGCACGTCTGCGCTTTGACCTCTTCTCTGAAATCCTCCTTGACTGGGCCTACGATCGACCGTAATCTCTCTCACCTCCTTCTTCATATCACACAGTCTGTCTCTGTCTGTCTGTTTTCGACATAGAACTTTGCACAAATGTGCGGAAGTTCAAGTCGCCACATTCCGTGTAGCACGCGAGCAAGCAAGAGAAGAAAGTACAAGAAATGCATAATAGAGACAGTGAGCAGATGTGTGAGACAAAGGAGTAATAAAGAAATACAAAACAGTTTCATTGAAGATCATAAGTCACAGGGAGTGGATGCATCTGCGCCACTGAGAACGATTTTCAGCCATGTCACCAATTGTTTCCAACCATAGATTTTTACCGTCCCGAGGACCCCAGCCTGGAAGTCTACACCTTCCTACGTGGCTTAGACCAACTGTTGTGGATTTCATTGACTGGTGACAAGTTTTTGTTTGACTGCCGCTAGCTTTTTTCCAGCCTGACCCTACATACGCTAACATTGCTCGTCAAGGGAGGCGATGGCTTGGCATACGTAACACATGTCCTAACCATCTCAGTCTTTGTAACTTCACGACTTCATCGATTGATTTCCCCTGTTTACCTAGAACTCGACGCCTAACCTCAATGTTGCTCACCTTATTATGCCACTTCACACGGGAAATAGAGCGCAGGCACCTGTGATCAAACACAGCTAGTCTTTTCATGTCTTCCACTCTCAGTGGCCAGGTCTCACAGCCATAAAGGAGGACGGAGCGGACTGATGAGCAGTACACCCGCCCTTTGGTCGATAGTCGAACATCTCGTCTACGCCAGAGTCGGCGTAAACTAACAAATGCGAAACGAGCCCCTTGTATTCGTGCTGAGATTTCGTCAGAGATCAACCCATTGGCACTGGCTGATGGTACTTCCCAAATAAGTGAAGCGGTCAACGTGCTCTACCACTTCACTTCCTATTTTTATACTAGGCGTCGATGTAGTCCAGTCCTGTAACATCATCTTGCATTTGGTGGGAGCGAATCGCATGCCAAACATTCGTAGATTGCGGCTCAAGGTGTTTAGAAGACTCTGCATTTCGTCAGCGTCTTCGCCTAGAAGGACTATATCGTCTGCATATTCCAAGTCAACGAGATTATTCCCCGGTAGCAAGTCAATCACACAATCTCCTCCATGCCAACCTCCGATGATCGCACAACTCGTCTTTTCTCATTCGGATTCCACTCAAAAGATGACCTGCATTAAGAGCGATGTCATTCAATGGTCTCCTCAATGGTGTGTGCGCAGTCTATCTCCATTTTCTCCAACATATTTGTTGAATGACCAATTGGTTCTTGGTTGGTTTATTCATTACCAGAGTTCCCTCCTTTCTAATTCTTTCCGACCAGCCATTTAATATTCAATATGGAGGCATCTAAGTCAGCTGATGATAGAAATCAGCACTATCCTGTTGGAAATGCTCAGTGCAAGTTTCTCACTCATATAAAAGTGGTGACAGACTAATTTCGAATTTGTGTTGAAATTCTGAAGCCTATGTTTCACGCTGAAGCGGAGTGCAGAAGATTTCTAAAGTGATTTCGGATTGATAACGGGTGTATCTTACCTTTCCGATTCTGGCTGGCTTTAACATTCTCATCCGTTCCGCCCGCCAATAGTTGAAACGATGCTGGCTGCCTAGATACGTGAAGGAAGTAACCGTTGTTGTCGAATCTCTCCCGTTGATAGTGATTAGTGCTGGAGTTACTGTTGTTGGTTGGTTACACCTTCATCACCCTCACCTTCTCTATGTTCATCTGGAATTAATGTCCAAACTTTTGGAAAGAAGTCGACTTCTGTTGATAATATTCACAAAGATATTTTGAATTTATGCACAGAAAGTAAAGTGGTCTATACTGTCTCTATACGGGTTTAATCTAGTAAGACAAGCCATGCCGATGCACCGGGATCTTGATGACTGAATAATCACCAGTTAGTGTGTTTATTACACACCAACAAAAGTTCAGTATCACCCTTAAATGACCTTAACGATCAGGTATTTTATTGCCATTTTGAGTAAACAGCATTCGAAAGCTACAGTGATCAACACTACCTTGAGGTTGTTTATACTGTCTTGCTGAAGACTTCATATAAGTATGAGTTCTTGATATCAGTATAAAACTTGGGCAGCATTATGGTAGAGTATCATTCCATTATTTTGATAGTCACACAGTGTTATACAGTAATACTTACTGATGACCACATTTCGAGTACAGTTTATTACAGCTGATAATCATATCAAGGTATTCAGTCACACTACTTTCTTGCTTCATTTATATACGTAAGCGAAACTGATTAGACATTTGAATAAGGTCAATATAAGACTTGCGTGAAACACAAAGGCAGATAAATTACATTAGGCGAGTGGGTCGTCCAAGGGTGACTTGGAGGAGGTCATGCGAGGAGGAGATGAAAGCATGTGGACATACCTGGAGCAGGGTGAAAAAGTTGTCAGAAAACCGAAGGCAATGGAGGTGAGCAGCTGAAGCCCTATGTTCCTCTAGGAACTAAAGGATACAATAATAATAATTATTATTATTTTTGTCAATAAATTAAGATGAGTGTTGTTAGCCAACAAGATGGGAAATAAGATGTTTTCATAGTAAAATAAATAACTTTTTAGAATGTTATAATGCAAAATTGAAATATATTTTAACATTTTCAAAAAAAATGGATACTGAACAAAGAGTACTCTTTTCGATAACCCCTTCTTCATCAGGCTCTACAGTTATATATACATTATAGTGAATGGATGAATGAATTAGTGTTATGCACAACATTAATGTCATTTGAATAATGTCGAATCAATAATATCAATAGATTACAGCTCAATAGCATCAACATAAAATAAGCTGAATGTCAGAAAAATTAGGAAAGATAATATTACAAATTCATGAATTTATAGTCTCTGCTGAGAGCCAGCCAGACCAGTAGTAGTGGCTAGCTGAACTTGTTTCTTTTGAACACAAAGCACTGGTTATTTGAGGCGAATTGCGATAGCCTAGGCTGTTTGGAGCATGTAGTACTTCGATGTTTTTGGCAATTTAATCGGTAATAATATCTTCCATATCTCGGGTATTTTCGTTGAGTCACTTCTATTGCATGGGTTGCGTGTAGACTAGATGAACCAGACAGGATTCAGTAATCAATCTCTCTCGCTCTCCATCTTTCTAGATTACTTTTTACAATTTTAACCCTATCCCACCCTATTGTGTGGTTGTGTGTCAATGCAAGCAGTGCGATTGCTGAGCTTTTTTCTAAATTACATATCTTCTCGAGGTCAACCATTCTTATCTTGGCTAAATTCTTATATTCTGACAATCTGACTAGCCCTGATCTACTACTAGTTTGACCTATGTAGTTTACCTCATTTACAGTCATTGCAATGTATTTCGTAAATTATATCACTGAATCAACAGGCTCCTTTAACCTACAGAACTTGTCCCATCTGAGTGAGTTTGTAGGTTTTAGTGCCACCCTAATGCCTGCTTTATTTAGAATCCTACATAGGGTCTCAGATGTCCCTTCCTTATATGGTATAACAGTTGATGACTTATATTCTTTCTTATTTGTGTTATCATTAATAGTTTCACAATTATTTTGATTTTGCTTTTGGTCTTTACTGATCTTCCTAAAGAATTTTATAGGACAGTTAGTTATTTAACACCAATGTTCCTTCCGTCTCATTTCGCTATTTAGGCTTTTTATTGTACTACTTAGTGCTATCGCTCGGTTTGTTCGACATTTAACTAAGCCTGCCCTTACAGACAGATAACAGATGAGATGAATTAAAGCCTAAATATCCATTAGCAGAATGCGTTGGCCTTTTATAAACACTAGTGTCCAGTTTACCTTCTTCTATTCGTTTTATTTTACCATCTAACATGATAGCTAATTCTCCGTGTTCATTCCCCGATTCAAATGTGAGTACCTTGATAAGCTTATAAACAGTTAATAAATTGTGCTCAAAACTTCGTCATCAGTAAATATAAGTGTTTAACGCTGCGTTTGACTTGATCGAAATAAAAATGTTATCCGTAATGAAAGTATGACCTTTCCTTCCAAGGGTTCCAACCAATTATCTCCAATTAACCGCTTAAACTACAATCATTGTTGATTATGAACATTATCGATTTCACCCTTAATTTGTTTCTAAACAGTTACATACATAATAAGGTTTCTTGTATTTCCCAATGAATGAAAAAGAGCAAAACGATATTGTTGTTGTGTTTTACTGACGTTTCGCTATTTAATCCTGCTGCTAATAGCTTTATCAAAGTATTATTAAACTAGCATTTACAAAATCTCATTTTATACATAACAACTTAATCATCGTTCCTCAGAATGGGATCATTTTTGCGTTGTCAAACTGGCCAATTGGTAAAGATAACAAACCCAGGTGTAGATTGTTGGAATTGATAAGTGTGTAAAATAATAAAAGCAGCATGTGCTTACATGATGAAATTGCTTATCACATTTGTGTTGATTTTGTCACTTCATGGGGGAGGTGAGGGAGGTGTTGTAACCAGGTCAGATTCTGTTTTAATTCATCATTCCTATTCAGTTCACACAATTTGGATTCCACTTGATATGAAGTGCTTCTGATAGTGTGAGACGTTCTTTGTAATTTCTGAAATTTTTCTGGATTATTTCAATATTTTCAACATCCATTTTGTGGCCTGATTCTATAGCGTCATGTATACCACCTATGGCTGATGATTTTTCAAGCTTTTCTAGTTCACTAAATGGATTTCTCGATGGTCGAACAGATGCTGTATGGTGTTCATTTCTTCTGATTACCTTGATTTTTCGAGAAGTTTGTCCAATGTATATCGCATCACATTGTTTCGTAGTGTATCTGATGTTTTGAAGAAAACTCTGATGTCGAACTGATTGAGTACTCTTCTGATATCGTCTGATGTCTCCACTCTATATGAATTAAGTTTTTTTTATATATAAGCTGAGTGGATTTTGTAAATTCTGGTTTAACAATACTTTGATAAAGCTATTAGCATAAAATAGCGAAACGTAAGTAAAACACAACAATATCACTCTGCTCTGTATTATAATGAATATCATATACCCAATGGCTAAATTTTTTAAACCTGTTAAAAGTGATTTAATTGGTGGATGGTGACTAGCAGTGGAATCCAGGAGGCACATTTCGTCTTATTTGGGACTTGTCATCTGGATGTACCTGCATTTCTCAGTGAGTGATGATGTTCCCACCGAGGCTCGAACCCAGTACCCATAGTTTCAAACGCCAAAGCGTTATCCACTAGACCACTTGGGCTCTCGCCCCCCCCCCCCAGTTAAAAGTGAACTTGATTTGGACATTTCAAATATATATATATATATATATATATGTGGTAGGAGCAGCCTGCTCGCCAAATGGTTGACATTATTCTACGTCAATGTCTAGATCACTAATATTGGCCGTGAGAAAATATGAACAAGGCTGTTTCAACAACCAATCACAGCAAACTTAAACGTGGGCAAATATGATTTGCAGATAGATAACTCGACTTTCCGAGGAACTCGAAAACAACCAATCAGAAGACTGCCTTTGTCTACTGGACTAGGCTACAATAATGTATGTGAAATTTATATAAATACGTGTTGATTTCCATAATAAAACGATCTGTTGCCTGGCCCTTGTCTTCTGTTGTTACATATATATATTTGAAATGTTATCTAATTAAGCGTTCACTTGAGGTAATGTGTTTTGATGTGTATAAATTCTATACAGGTAGATGGGGCATTCATTAATTATACCAATAAATTTTGTGATAAACTTGATGAGAAAGAGTCAATACAAAGTTTAACCGGTAGATGTGATTATTTACAACAGAATTCTTCAAGATTACAATCTAAAGTAAGTAGAACGTTAAAATTATTTCTTTTAGAGAATAAATTTCAGCAACGAATACGCTTTTTTGATAATTTCCTCTTCTGAATCTGCAGTTATATATATATATATATATATATATATTAGATGGTTGGAGAGAGTCTGCAGGAAGCCTTGCCTAAGTGAGGTTTCATGTTAGTTGGAACTCATCAGCAAGGCATAGCTGCAACTGTCTTGAAGTAACTCATGACTCTTCTGAGATTCGAACCTGCATCACTACCCAGTACTGCAGTCAGAGAGAGACGTTTCCTCTGAGATATTCAGGCTCGCGATTGACCTCCTGTAAGAATCTATTGCACATGTTTTTTGATAGTCAGTGATTAGTGTGATGTGTCTAGTCCTTATCTTTAGCGCAGTCTGAATTCTATCAGTCAAGTTTGCAATATGGTCACTATGCCACTAGGGTGGCTCGCCATCATGGTGGACTGTGAATTTTTAGTTCAAATCTCAGAAGAGACATGAGTTCTTTCGAGGTTGCAGGTGTGCCTTGCTGATGAGTGCCAACTAAAAACGAAACCTAGGTCAGGCAAAGTTTCCTGTGGCCGATAGCCTCCAACCATCTAACATCAATAGTTCACAGTGCAGTGCAACAGTAAGATGATGAGCCACCTAGTGTGTTGCATGGTGACCAAATTGCAAACTTAACTGATCGAATTCAGTCTGCACCAAAGATATGACTAGACACACACACATTACTGACTAGTGTTCAATCAAATGCATATACGTATAATATTCTAGTATAGTCGTCATTAACAATAATGGCGTTCCGTTTAAATATTATCGATTTATTCAGTCACAATGGAATTACCACAGTTCAAGAAAGCTGCATAAGTTATAATAAGCATAAAAATGTAATGATAAAGAGAATATTAAATAAAATTAGGGAAATTTTCACAACAAACTGAGGATCATTATGACCTTGATGACCAGGGGGTAAGGACAATGTCTGAACCAACTTCTTCTTTCGGATACACTAGTTAGGTTTCTTGACGTACATCCTAACACCCTCAGCAGTATATGATAGCAGAACTCTGGAGGTAAAGTTAAGATTATTTGGTATGTGGTGAATGACTTTTAAGGCTTCGTTTATACTAATTTTGTGTTCTGAATCCACAAGATGAGAATGAATACATCTATGAATGGATTTCGTTTGTCCTTTACTCAACCAATATGCAGGATGATGTTCGGAAATCTGACGATAAACAGGCATAATTGTACGGTTTATGTAAGTGACTCCACAGGAGCAGCCAAATTGTGAGAGATACTCATAGCAGAGGCGAAATTTAATTTTAACTCCTGAACGCAAAATAGGGGTACTTTTGACTCGCCAGCCTTCTATTCTAATCACTATTAGCAGCGACAAGGACGTGATACGATACCACCGAAACCGCGACTTCAGAAGACAGACCGTTGACGTAGAGAGCTCTTACTGTCCCCATATCAGCAACAAAAATGTCTAACAGTAATTGCGTATATATATATATATATACACTTTGGATGACCTTGACTGAAGCTAATTATACTGATGAGCTAAAACGGCCAGCAACCAATAGGATTCCAAGGTCATCAACGTGTGGGTGGGATATACAAACAGCGATATAAAGATGTGATATTTTAGGAAAATTAGGTTCATATAACAGTTTTACTACCTAACTTTAGTTATAACCTTAATACTGTAAAAATTTCGTGGCTATTAGTAGACAGTATTACGAAACTACCTTTTTCTATTCTGAGATTTTTATTGATGAATGCGCATAAAAGTGTGTGGAATGTAACACATATGATCATCTACTGCTACATGTAGAAGCAGAGAGTTCTAATTTCACCAAGTGATAACTAATTTTGTGACCATTGATAATACTGAGCAAATCACAAGGTGTAATAGAAATCAGGAGTTTGTGTGTGTGTGTGTGAAAGAAATGTGCACTGTAGCCAGTGAAGTTCCTGACATGTGACTGTCGTACACTACAGTTTATCCATCATAAGAGATTGTAAAAATGTCTTGCTAATGAGTGTGAAAAAGTAAGAAATATCGATCTACAGATCCCCCTCTCTCTCTCTCTCCCTCAAATGCAACACAATGCCCTCCGAAACGTGACGTCAGAATGGAGTGACAGATTTCCATTAAAACCTCAGTCGTCACACCTACACTGTTGAGGATATGACGACTGATTCGCATATTGAGATGTAAAGGAGATTTGACGATTGATCAATATTAAGCAACGCGAAAATCCTCATTAAGTCATATAAAAGAAAAGGCGTTTAGCGCCTTACCATATATAAAGGATATCTCAGAAATCACAACAAGACTCTTCAAACCTTTAGGAATTGACGTCGTACACAAACCAACAAAGTCGCTGCAATCAATTCTATCTCAACCAACCAGGATAAATTTTAACAACTGCGAAAAACACTACATTGGCCAAAACTGGACGTCCCTTTCGTCTTCGTATCCACGAACATAAGCTAGCCGTCAAAAGACATGATATCCACTCCCTCATATCGCCTCACTGCATACAGACAACCACGGACATCAATTCGACTGGGACAACCAACGTTGAAATATTAGGCAGAGGAAACAACAAGAATGCTAGAGAAGTTTTAGAAGCCTGTCTGGTATTCCAGTGAATCATCAATCAATAGACACATCGAGATAGACAAAATTTATCAACCGATAAGAAGAAGGAAATCTCACACACAAAGGGTCAAAGTTCAAGTCAAAGAAACAATCAGTGTCAATACAAGCAACCTAGAAGGTGTGAAAATACACAAAAACAACCAGTCACGCCCAAGGTTACCAGGAGAGATGATTGATGAACTCGTGGATAAATCTGAAAGGTCACTTCAAATTGAAGTATGCGCTGAAGATGTCGCCTACTGAGTAGGGCGATGAAAGCTTCGCAAATTAACCATTCAGCTCAGAGAACAAAACCACATCAAAATTATCCACCTGAGCTACAAATCTTCTCTATCATATCTAGAAGAAAAGGCGTTTAGCGCAGAGTTACTGTTCTCTGTAACATCATTTTTGAGCTGCGCAGTCTCATATATATAGTAAACGATCTTAGAGACAAAAAGAATATTTCCAAAGATGTGTCACTAGAATTTTAAACCTTTTTTTTCAGATACCGAACTATGCATTATAGAAAGCTCTAATCAGGTAGAAAATAAAAAATAAAATTCAGACATAGCAATAAGAAGATATAATTTGTCTGAATCGTGTAATGTATGAGCGCAACACATTTTGAACAATCTGATCACACATGGACTTGTCATAGAAATAAGTATATATGAAATTAATAAACAGTTAAGAGATAAGAGAAATAGAAATAGACTCAGATCAAATTAAAAGGATATATTGAAGGTAAAAATAACAATGAAGATCACTGAACCGAATAGGAGAGGTAATAGAATAACTGCCCTGACTGGTATCAAAAACGTTTACCAGGGAAGGTGGTTTAGTTAGTGTGATGTCGAATTGTTGCTTCGATCACATAAAGGTGGTTTAAACTTTCTAACTGCTTCCACAGGCTTTAGGATACGTCCTCTCCCAAACACGTTTTATAAATAGGTTTAAAAAATCTGTTAACGTCAATTTTATGTCTTGTCTCTATAATATGTTTCGTAATAGAGGAGCTAGGTCTCCTGCTCTCACCATTAAATGGGGTCTGACAATTTTATTTGCTTCTGGAGCCATTTCGGAATATGCTCTGAAACCAGCTCTTACCTGCAGAGATCGATGAGTCCTCCCTTCTATGTATGTGTATCCACACGTGCATTCAAATTGGTAAATACAGTGGGATGTGACATCATTTTACTCATGTTCAAAGGGCTTAGATGGATGGATGGATGGATATTGGCTTCACATTCTCAATTATTATTATATTAGCTGCATAAAAAGTCTTATTAACCACAGCAGCGTTCAGTCTTTGTCTATTTATCAAGCTGCTGTGATCCCCCATATAGGATCGGTAGGTTGATGTACACGTCTTTCTTAGAGGCGAGTTGGAGAATGGGTCTTGGTGTTCCACTGATCGCTTTATATATCCTGATGATGAACTTGTCTGGATAATTGTTATCATCAACCAGAGTTTGTGTCAACTTTCTTTCTTCCTCATCAAGTGTGTCTGTTCTCAGTGCATAGTCGTTGGATTCTACTAAAGAGGCACCTCGCTTACTAACTCTTTTGTACTGAACAGGGCAGAAGCTGTGATGACTGAACAAACTTCTTCTGTATGCAGAGTTCAGGATTTAACACGTGAATTGACAGCACGGCTGCTTCTGATGAGTTTGAAGAAGTTTGATTCGTACTATTTTAGGTAGATTCCCACGTATTCTGTGGATAGCAACTTTGAAGTTCCTTTGTGATTGTGTTAGCTTGGTACCCATATTTGACTAGGTTCCCCAGGGTAAAACCATGAATTTGGGTAAGTGCTCGATAATACATTCAGATAGCAAATGCTGGTTACGGCCGATATACCTAGTTCCACTGGTGGAGCAGATGGATTGATAGTTGTACATTGATTAGGTAGCTAACAGTGATAGCTTATCCTCCCCTGCATGCAAATCATTGGTTTCATAGAGAGAGTTAGCAGTAGTTCAGCCACGAAGAAGGTTTTCTTCAGTGATCAGAATAAACGATTCCTTAATATTTCTAATGATGAGTCTCCGATGGATTGTAGATTCAAGTAGAGGAATTTTTAGGAGCAGGGAGTGTGGGCGATTTAACTCATTTAGGCTGTATGAATATCGTGATGAAATGTTCTAGGTAGCCATTTTCGAGGAGGAATCTTTGTTGATAAGTAAGTTCGTGGTGAGTGATGTCTGCTAGCCCAAATTGGTAGACAGCAATTTACGTCAACGCTTACGTCCCAAATCTTGGTCATAAGAAGAAAACAAGAACAAAGACTAACTCAACAATCAATCACAGCAGACTTTGTGTCAGCGGATAAAATCTGCAGATATATGGTCTGACCTTCAAAGAAACGGCCGCAAATAGATGACACAATAACTTTCAGCGAGAAGACAGCCGATCAGAAGACGCTGTTTCTCTGCTAATGATGACAGACAATAATGTACATAAAAATATGTAAATATCTGTTGATTTCCTCAATAAACGATCTTTTGCCTGGCCCTTGTCTTCTGCCGTTACAAGTTTACCACATATATATATATAAGCGATTGTACAGCTTGAGGAGGATATCGCCAAAAGGAGTATATATCAAGAATTCCTATAAATTGACTTTTATAAAAAAAACTTTTTCTTGATTTGGTTTCTAAATTTTTCTAATACATTTTTGTCTGTTTTCGCCTAACAATTTAAATTTTAGGGTAGCTTTAAAGATTCTTGTTCATTATTCGGTTCAACAAGTCATCTTTCAATAAAATCGCAATCAAATAAAAAATTCAAGCAAATTAAATACAATATTATTGATTTATTTGAAAAGAAAGAACTGCCTAAAATAGCAAAGTACACGTGTGCATTACATGTAAGTTAAGTAGGGTTTCTTTTGCTGTTTTCTTAATTGGATAAATAAAATGTGGGCATTTTTTCGGAAATTTCATACACATTTAATCCCACCTTTATGAATTTGAATAAAGCAAGAACAAAAACAGTCGTTTGAGCAGACTAAAATGGTACCATCATTGTTTATTTCGTCAGCTACTCATCAGCTGCTTACAGCATAAAGCCATTATTATTAAGTTCATGCAAAGAAACAATTTTAAAATACTTACCCGCAAAGAGTTCAAGTTTAAACAAAAAATCAATAAATGCATATAATGGTAATAATAACCATACACAATGGAATATTTCGACGTTACGTAATCAAATGAAAGACAGGATGAAAATATTCAGTGACCAAGGCAAGGAAAGGCTGATAACCACTTCTCTCTGAACATATAAATGGGGTTTCAAGTGCTTGATGGAGATTGCTTCTGCAAACTTGAGAAGAGTTGAACTCTTTTGCCTATTGATAATTTTGAAGGATATTTTGACGTTTATGTCATGACCCGTGTCAAAGAGATACCTGGTAATGGCACTGTTGAAAGCACTTGTTCTGTAACAACAGAAGACAAGGGCCAGGCAACAGATCGTTTTATTACGAAAATCAACGCGTATTTATATATATTTTATGTACATTAATAAGGCTTATGCAAGCAGAAAAGGCAGTCTTCTAATTGGTTGTTTCTCGGAAGTTAAGCAGACAAACACAGTCTCCTGATTGATTGTTTTCGATATTTCTCGGAAAGTAGAGCCATTTATCTGCGAATCATATTCGCCCACGTTGTTGGTTGTTGAACCAGCCTAGATTAATGTCTACCAATCAGCGTCGATTAATGTCTACCAATTGGCTAGCAGCCTGCTCTCACCAGAGTTCCTAAAGATGTAGGCGTTTCGGTACATGTTCAGAAAATCGGAGGTACGCCCTTCTTTCTGTTCTTTCAATATAACTGCTCCCAAAGATAGAGTTGGAGTTAACATGAGAAAGTTATCTGTCGACCTTTGCTTTATTGCTCCAAAGAGCATGTTATCCGATAACAGGGAACCAACTCAGCTAGTTGCAGGACAGGCTCTGGCTAGTGAATTATTCAGTCTTCTTTTGATTATACCTGCAATACCATCACCTTCAAAATTGAGCTGAATGAAGATAGCCATTTTCCTTGCTGTGATTTGTTTGGCATTAAAGCTTCAACATCTTCTGTACTTGTTAATGAATCTCTAGGAGTAACCAATGTTTTTAAACATCTTTTCAAGAATCAGAAACTCTTCCTGTAATCACTCTGTACAGCATATTCTTCTGATTCTACAGAAAAGAGCTTTTACTAGTGTTCGCTCCTAGCTATATGGACAAAAACCATTAGAATGTAAATATTGTGCATGCCTTGTCGGTCTTCGGTAAACTGACCTGTGGAGACTACCATCTTCCAGGCGTTACATGGCAATGTCAAGGAAATGAAACTTTCCATCATTTCCATTTTATATGATTGCTATTGTTCGAGAAAAAGTGATTATTATTATTACCATTATATGCATATATTGATTTTTTGTTTAAAAAAGGAACTCTTTTTGTGTGAGCGTGTTATGTACGTAAACTCGAATATTTAATATTGTAATCCTTATTTCTGAACAAATATTTTCGAAAAATCATTTAAAAAGTGTTGATACCAGTTCATCGAATTTCATTACTATTATTATTATTATCAAGTAGCTGAATGGTATACGAGCTCGCCTTGTAACCGGAAGGTCCTGGATTGGAATCCCGGTGGGTGCGTACTGCTGAAGAGTCCCCAACTGGGACGAAACAGCTGTCCAGTACTCCCAGGTTTTCCAATGGTTCTCTAACTAATGTCAGCTCATGATGAAATTCATTATTATTATTCCCTAGAGTTCTGATTGGAATATAGGGCTTCAACAACACATCTCTACTTTGTCCTATTTTCTACCATCCTCTTCAGCTGGTTGGGCCCAAGATTGCCTATAATATATCCCATCTCTTCCTCTCGTGATCTCCTCCATGTCACCCTCACATTAACGACCCACTCATTGCTTCGCGCTCGGATTCCAATCGAATGACGGCCTGGAGCGTGATTTCATTCGACAGTCTCCCCCAGTCCATCTCCATTTCCTCCTACATATGCGTTGAGCGGTCGACTCATGGTTGGGTTTTTTTTTCATTGCCAGAGCTTCTTATTACTTATTCTTTCTGGTCATTTGATCTTCAGCATGGAGCCAGCCATCGAAGACAACTGTTGATAAAATTCTGCAACCTGTTGGAAATGCTTTCATGACACTCAGTGCAAGTTTTTTGACGCGTATAGAAGGACCGTCCGTCTTGACACTGGGTGTTGAAAATCCGAATCTTTTGTTCTTCATGCCCTTTTACTTGATTTACTTGATTCCACATAATTACGATGGGGAGAATAAAAGGTGACAATTACTTTCAACTTGAAATAGATTACAAGAGGCTTAGAAACAAAAATTACACAGGATTAGAATATAATCGTAAAATAGTTATTCTAAACAAATTACAAGTATGAACAGGAGGAGCATAGAAACAAACTTAAAATAACTGTTCTTATAACTGAAAAGATGGGATGAATTGAATGAATACAAGGAGAGAAAAATCACACACACACACACAGCGAACAAAACAATGAACCCAAGGCTAAGGGAACATGCTGAACTAGGTCCAGGGGAGTTGTAAAGGTTGGACTAATTTCTTTTGAACACACAGCTTCGGCATTTTTATGCATTTTGAGAGGCCCCGTGTAGCACAAAGAAGTCGGAAACATACTGCTTTTGGTAGGTTTCTGTTTACTTGATAGATGACGGAATGAATCAGTTGAGGTGCTGTGGTGGGTGTTGATCAGATGTTCAATTATGGTGCTTCTGATTGAACTGGTGCCTCTTCTTTACAGTTATGCTGGATAATGTTCCCAAACAGTTTTTGAAAGGACGCGCATACCACAGCCTATGTGCCTAGCTCCGCACAAGCAGTGAACCGGTATACGTGCATTGAATTGGTCATAAACGACAGTTTGCCCTTTGCACTGTTTAGAAGTATTAGGCGGCTAGAGAATGCCATTCGTAGTGTTGCTGCTAAGAAGGTTTTCTTTAAAGAGCTGCCAAATCTTCCCTGAAGTTCAGATTCATATACAGAGTTTACTTCGGTGCTGGACTGCATTCTTCTTTTTTTGGTTTAGGTTTCATGTTCTTGTCGGGTGACCATTTTGAGCCAGGATATTTTTGAGGAATAAGAGTTCCTTTCCCATGCAATCACTGCTGCAGATTTTTCTAATCCGATGGGTTAATCCCATGGCGAGAGCTAGTTTTTGACTCAAAGGTATCCAACTATATGATAGAGAAGATTTGTAGCTCACGTGGATGATTTTGATGTGGTTGTATTCTCTGAACTGGGATAGTTGATTTGCGAAGCTTTCATCACGCATACTTCAATCTGAATTGAGCTTTTAGATTTATCCACGATTTCATTAATCATCTCTCCTCGTCGGTGACCTTGAACGTGATTGGTCGTTTTTGTTTTTGTGTATTTTCACACCTTCTAGGTTGCTTGTATTGGAACCGGTTGTTTCTTTGACTTGAACTTTCACCCTTTGTGTGTGAGATTTCCTTCTTCTTATCGGTTGATAAATTTTGTCTATCTCGATGTGTCTATTGATTGATGATTCACTGGAATACCAGACAGCCTTCTAAAAATTCTCTAGCATTCTTGTTGTTTCCTCTGTCTAATATTTGAACATTGGTTGTCCCAGTCGAATTGATGTCCGTGGTTGTCTGTATGCAGTGAGGCGATATGAGGGAGTGGATATCATGTCTTTTGACGGCTAGCTTATGTTCGTGGATACGAAGACGAAAGGCATGTCCAGTTTTGGCCAATGTAGTGTTCTTCGCAGTTGCTAAAATTTATCCTGGTTGGTTGAGATAGAATTGAGTTAAGTGACTTTGTTTGTGTACGACGTTATTCCTAAAGGTTTGAAGAGTCTGTAGTGATTTCTGAGATATCCTTTAATATGGTAAGGCGATTTTCTTTGTGCTTTCCTGGGGCTTTTGCTTTGATAGGTTGGCTTGAGGTATGTGTCTTTTGATGAAATTCCGTGGATATCCATTCTTTGAAGACTTACATGAGATATTTTCAATTTTCCTTAAGGTGGGAGTGCTGCAATGAGTCCTCGCTCTCTTGAATAGTGTTTTATGCAATTCTTTGTTTATTGGATTGTTGCTGTTGTAATTGAGTTAAGTGACTTTGTTGGTTTGTGTACGACGTCAATTCCTAAAGGTTTGAAGAGTCTTGTAGTGATTTCTGAGATATCCTTTATATATGGTAAGGCGATTTTATTTGTGCTTTCCTTGGGGGCTTTTGGTTTGATAGGTTGGCTTAGGGGTATATATCAGTTTCAATACAAGTAACCTAGAGGGTGTGAAAACACACAAAAACAAAAAACAACCAATGACGTCCAAAGTCACCAGGAGCAATGATTAATCAACTCGTGGAGGAATCTAAAAGTTCACTTCAACAAACTGAAGTATGCGCTGAAGATCTCGCCTAGTAGGGTGATGAAAGCTTCACAAATTAACTGTCCAGCTCAGAAAACACAATCACATCAAAAGTACCCAACTATATAAGTTCGTTAGTTGATCATTCCAAGTTGGTTTTCTTTGGATGAATGTCTTCAGAGTTCCATCATTTGTTCTTGTTAATTCCACGTCTAGAAATGGAATTTGGTCTAACCAAGGGATATATATATATATTCTAAACCTTATATTTATTCATAGATAAATCCTGAAGAAACAGTGAAATGTGTTGTTCAAGCGGCTAAAAACGTGTACAAGACAACCAGTTCGACCTTTACCTCATTTAATATTCAACAAAGGTTGGTCACAAGAATCGAGCATACTCACTCATGAATTTTTGCCGACTACTAATCAAGATAATTTTACTAGCAATTCCAATGATAATCTACATCATGAGAAAATTCTCCGCAACGATAATGATGATGATGATGATAATGACGGTGGCAGCTGTCGTGGTGGTGTTGGTGTTGTTGGTGAAGGCTTATTTGGATTCAAAGGTTCAAATCCAACTAGTTGGTTAGAAGATTCAAGAACATCAGAATTACTGAAAAATTCACTAGATTTACGTGAAGCTGGTCTACTTGATATACGTGAAGGTGAAAAATTAGAAGTGATGTGCATTTATATGGAGCCTAGACTGCTGGTGAGAAATACAATTGGAGAATGTAAGCTGATTCGCTTTATTCTGTATGTGCTTTAAGATAATATTTAACCGAAGAAAAGATTCATGACATCAGTTTGTCATGTTATAGGCTCGGTATTCAAATGACCACTTATTTGCCTCACTAGCTTAGGCAATCGATTTCCAGTCACATTAGGTCCAGAGTTCGAATCTCTTTCTACTTATTTCAGCTTATATAACACCTTATTATCAGCAGCTTTCATAACTAGATTATGACTAAAGCATAAACGAACTCTTGTCACAGGTTGACATGTCGACTTCTTGTGTAGATGCTTCGACAAAACCTAGGCATGTAATTAGAAGTTAATTGGTTGATGATGATTAACAGTGAAATCCAGGATAAAGCGCATTTCGTCCTATTTGAGGCTCGTCAGCTGGATGTGTCGAAAACCAACCAATATCAACCCAATACCGAGCACTTAGGTCTAATCAACCGATGAGAAAATCTAAAATTCAATTCAATAATTAATATGACCCGTTGCACAAGAGGCAGTGGCTCTCGTGGCCCAAGTGGCCTAGTGGATAACTCTTTGACATTGGAAACTATGGGCATTGCGTTGGAGCCTTAGTGGGAACATCATCACTCACTGGGGAATGCAGGTACATCTAGCTGACGAGTCTCAAATAGGACGAAATTCGCATGCTGGGTCCCACTGCTAGCCATCATCCACCAATTAAACTCTGGTCACTAAAACATTTTCTTGTTGCAAATAAATGAGAGACGGTCATCCTTTGATCAGGATTTTCATTTCAATAAAATTCGGGTTGAAATACATAAGAAGATCAGGGTGGACGATGTCATGAACCTAAGTGACTCACAGTTTTATCGAAAACGAAGGTGTTTCCACTCATCAGCATTATCCATCCACTCCCAGCACAACAAGGTATCACTCAAAAAGCTTCGATACAATTTTTCATGAATTGCCAAAATTAGTAAATCGCGATTCCTTAGATTCTGACCGAGTAGCCGAATCGTGAAATTCAGTTATGAAAACATAACGAATGTAAACTCACGGAATATACACATTGGATCATAGAAATTATTATAAAGATGGTTGCATCGAGGAAGAAAATTTTCTTTTCGACGAAGTCATCATCTAGGAGGCTGTACATTCTTGTATTTATGATAAATGAGTGGGAAAGTTCCAGAATAATTTCCAGTCGATGGTTAAATTAATAAAATTACAATTAGGAATTAAAATGCCATAATAAACAGAGTGGGGGAGGGGTGATGGACGGATAAAACTCAAACAAAGCGGCATCATAATTACTGACAAGATTGACATATTGTGCAATTGGGGGTAAGAAATATAGAAATAACAAAAATAGACAGGAAGTTTGGATAAGAAAGGCAATGGGGTGGTCATTACTAAAAGAGTAAAATTAAGACATCTGTGCATCATAGCCGAGGCACTACCACCCGCCCTATGTACCCAAAAGAAACACGTCCGACGTTTATCGCTGCCATAGCCATCATAAAGAGGTAGTTCTTATGATAGTTACCATCCTATTGCCTTTCTTATCCAAAGTTACTGTTTATTCATATTATTTTAAAGTTTTTCTTAATCCCTATATACACTACCATGTTTTCATATCCAAACTTCTTGTATATTTTGTCATTTTATTATTTCTACATATTTAATCCCTGATTGCATAAACAATTATTCATCACATTAGTTATGATCCCACTAGATTTTTTTATTCAAACATCCCGTCTATTTTTGTTATTTTTGCATTTCTAGCCCCCTAATTGCACAATATATCAATCTTCTCAGTAATTATGATGCTACTTTGTTTGAGTTTTATCCGTCCGCCACCTGTTGATTATGGCATTTTAATTCCTAATTTTAATTTTACTAATTTAACCCTGTTGCGTACGTCATTAGACTAAATCGGCGTACACGTATTTCTTAGTACTTCGCTATTGTTGAACTTCACCTATCAATATGCATAGACGTTGTGGCTACTCGACGCCCACAACGTAAAACCAAAAGGCACTTGTGAAGAGTTAGACTGTGTATTATAGCCGTAGTCAAATTTCGAAATTGTGTCAAGGTAATGTTCAACAGTAAAATTGACAAATGTTTGCGAAGTACACATATAAAATCGGTCTTTGTAAACATATAATACAAGTATACAAATTAGATTGAAAAGCGTGTTTACAGTTGGTATAGGGGTACTACAATCCTTAACCGGAAATTATTCTGGAACTTTCCCACCCATTTATCTTAAATGCATGAATGTATAGCCGCCTAGTTGACGGTGACTTCGTCGATAACAAAATTTTCTTCCTCGCTGCAACCATCATTTTAATAATATAACTCAATGCTGTGCATATTCATGAATTGCACAGCTGTAGAGTCTTGAGCTGAGACGAAACAGCTATCTAGAATACTTGTCAACTGGATAACTTTGTGTTATACCTTATTTGCGGATCATAGCTAGAGAGTGGAGTAAGCAAAGCGGGGTTCTTATACCGAACATATAGAATGAGTGTCATTTTGCAAAACAAAAGATAATAATCCACAAAGGATTTACTGCGCCACAAAACTCCACACTTCACCGTTTAACGACACGTCTACATCTGCAGTTGAACTTTTCTCCAGATTATAAAGCCAAGTGGTGAGGTTATTACATTGTACTTTTTCTTCGGTTTCTTTCAGTATCCCGGTTACCGGTAACCGATTTCTAAATTAATCTACAATTCCAATTTCTGCCAGTTCACAAGATAGCACTACCGGCACTACCCAGTGTCATTGCTGAGGGGTATTTACCCTCACCTGCTGCATCTGACTGGCTACGACTTCCCACTAGAACCCAGTTAACTACTTACCTGAATGGAGGCAGTCGCTAGTGATAAACAGATTAATATTCCAGTGTTGGTTAGCAGGGATTTAATTTGATTGGTTACAGGAACTCATCATGAGGTGAAATCGGTTAGATAACCATTGGAAAGCCAGCAGGAGTACTGAACAGTTGTTTTGTCAGTCGACTTTGGGACTATTCAGTAGTACTCACCCACCGCACTGCGAGGGTTCGAACCTAGGAACTTCTAGTTACAAGTCGAGTTTGTAGATCATTAAACCACTGGTCAGCTCATGATGAAATCCTGTAACCAATCAATTCTCTGCAAACCAACGCCTGATTACTGATCTACAATTAGTCAAAGAGAGAAGAAAACCGATTTAGCTCATTTCTAGCTTTTCTACCAACTTCATATTCAAGATTATTTAGAAAAAACCACATAGTTTTGCTTATTAACAGTTCTACATTCTTTTTTCCTCCTTTCTAGATGGTTTAGTACGTCAAAGTGAAGTACGAAATATATGAAGAGAAAAAAGACGATCCGTTTTTTTTCTGTAAGTAAACTTTTCCGTACGTAAAATGATCTTTTGAAACGCACATGATGAAATACTATGCTGATTAAGGTTCGACTAATTTCAAGGTAGACTTTTTTCTGCTTCACAAACCACACAATTTATAAGGTCACTGAAAGTCAAATGGAAATAGAGATAGAACTCAGTGCCTCACAGTGTGATAGCTTCCCGAGCACTTACGTCTCCCCGGAAAAAAAATCGTTTACAAATGCTCATACCTCAATTAGATATCGTGTCGACCACTACATCCCGAATTGCGGAACATAGTTTATGGTCATCGCCATGACGTAACACCAGACCTAATGAGCCAAGCCGAACATATGGTCCACTTCAGTGGATCGATTTGTGAGATACGGAATTTACCGTTACAAATATGAACGGGATTCAGAATAAGAAGCGTTCAGTCTAAATCCGTCAGATGGTAGATTTACACCATTGGCCTCTCAACCAGGCATATATACCATTTCGTTGAACCTACAGTTCTCCTTGTACTAAGCAGGATTACCATAACAACGGCCAGATTGTACTTCACTGATTACTGTACTCATTAAAAGTGTAAAAATAACCGGTCTCATGATGGTCTAAGCCCAGCTTATGTTCCCTTACTGAATCCCGCTTCACAATGATTGGAAAAGCCGATATTGAAGGATAAATACAAAAACTCGACTTGAATTTTAACACTTCAGTAACAGCTACTCAGAAACCAACCAAGAGTCACGCCTAAATCTACCAAAGTAGATTTCTTCTAAGAAATCTAGAAAAATAATTAGGAATTAACCTTTCGAGTTAATAAACTGAACGTGTGTTACACATAAAATCGAGAACACAGGATTGTCTAAAACACCGTAATATATTACATATGAAAATAATGCACCGAATTTACAAACCTCACTTTTTGAAGTTTCTAGATTGCCGTGGATTCCCACGAGGAAGCGCATGCCTACTCAATGGCAGAACACCTTTGTTTGGGTGATTCTGGTCATTTGTTTTCCTGTAGGTAATAAACGAATCCCGTTTGTTAATCTTACGGTTTATTTCTGAGACCCATCACTCCTTTTGTCACCCGTCTTTGAACTCTTCTCAAAAGGTTGGCCTCTCTTCTAAGCAGTAGGTTGAAATGATACTGTGTACTTCAAGGTGTGGACTGTTGTATATTTTGTACAGCCTTAGAAAGAGCTCAGATGTCAGTGCGACTAACTGTCTATGTGTAAAGTGTATAATCTGCCAATCTGAGTTTATCTTAGCATGACTGATCCTAAATATTACCACATTATTTGTTCTTTTTAGATACGGTGGAGGTAATACATCAAACTGAAAAGATATGCACATGAAAATTCCTAACAGATTTATTAAAAAAAATTCGTCTTCGTCTATTTTTGCGGTTTCCATCTTTTTATACAATGAATCCCTTATTCTAAATTCTCGTCCATTCAATCCCCTTCATCATTCATCAAATTGTGAAAATTAATTTATATTCCAAGGTTTATTTGTTTTTAATTATTTATCGAAAGAAAACTGTGAATTACATTCTCCTTGTTTTCGAAAATTGTTCAAAATATTGATTAAATTTTGTTTGTGATTCTCAGGCTAATAAATGTTTTTAATCTCAGTATGAATTTCTGTTCACTCAGTACGCAAAGAAGTCTTGCGTTAAATGTACATATCAACTGAATTCATGGTTCCGTCGTTATTAAAGTTATTATTAGTCACTGTATTCTGCTCTTTGCCATTATTTCTAGATGACTATACTACTGTCCACAACCTGTCATTTCCTTCTTGACATGATTCTCCTTCGTGTTACCACTGATTTCCATTAGATGGTTTGCCTTGCGTGCGATATCACACGACGATCTCCTCGGAGGATGCTTAATCTACCTCCATCTCCTTTTGAATAATAGATTCTTGGTAGGTACACGAAATACACGAAAATTCCAGGGTTGTTTGGTCATCCCAACTGTAAGTCCCTTGATGCAACTTGCCACAGTGATGACGAGTATCAGTGATAATGGGCATCGTTACTCTTACTCCTTTCTTCATTTCAAAGACCTTTTTGAGCTTCCTGTTGTGGCATCACCACATAGAATACTGAACTGAATGACGTTTATAAATTTTTGTGGCACTGTTGGTGGATTATTTCGCGGTTGAATCTGTCAAAAGCCTTTTATCAAGGAAGTCTTATCCACCTACCGATTGCCGAACCACTTCAATATGATAAATTACAATGAATATTGGGCGTCGGTGGCACAGCAGTAGAATGCTCGCCAACTACGCCACAGGTGGTGGCTCGGGGTTCGACTCCCGGCCACAGACGCACTCCTTTACCTCGCTAAGCCAGTAATAAAACTGGTAAAGAGGGAAAGTTGGGCATGAGGCTGTCTAGCGACCCCATTTGGTGAAGATGAACACTACTGCTACCGAAACTTCAAGCCTCTGGCTTGTATGTTGTAAGATTTAACCACACTATCTGACCATTAAACATTTAGTAGGTGGGACGGGTTTAGAACACGTGACTTGATAGTCACTTTTAGTTATGAACTTTAAGATATAAAGTTTCTATATTTCAAGATACATCAATCCAGAAAATGTATACCTCAATGCTTTCAGATGAGCGAAAGTTACCTAATCTTATTACATGGAATTTTACTGATTCGACTTACTAAATGTCATTTGACTAACATAAAATTGGTTGGAGGATTTCATCATGAGCTGAAATCGGTCAGAGGACTATTGGAAAATCGCTACTGGATTGCTGGGCAACTATTTTGTCCTAGATTGGGACTATTCAGAACTACGCACTCGCCACCAGCGTTCGAGCCAGAACCTTCCAGTAAAATGGCTGCCTCGTAGACAGGTGTGGGAACAGATATTATTTACCTGTGACATTGACTAGTAGTTGCACCATATCGTGAATTGGCGGAAGTTAGAATTCATAGACTGGTGTTTGGATCGGGTCCCAGTGACTGATGCATGGTCTACGAGCTCGCCTTCTAACTGGAACGTACTGGGTGAGTGAGTCCTGAATAGTCACAAAGTAGGACAAAATAGTTGTATGGCACTCCAGTGGCGGTTTTCTAATGGTTCTCGAGCCGATTTCAGCTCATGATGAAATCTTGTAACTAGTCAAAACCTTGAAAACCAACACTTCAATAACATGAAATTATGTAGATTTATGTGAGATTTAAGTTCTACATGTCTTAAAAATTTCCTTACTCTATAAAGTACGACATAGAGGGTGAGAAAAGCATGCGGACAAGTTGTGTACTATATTTGGCTCCGATTAATCTGCTATAATACATTCATATCTTCACGTTCTCTGGTGTGCTCATTGCTGATTACGACCAGATACCGATGACACTTCACTAAAAAGAACAAGTGAAATAGGACGAAATGCGCATCCTGGATTCCACTGCTAGCCACCATCCACCAATGGTATAAGAACAAGTGAAAATTTAAGAAAATATACTATTATTGAAATTAAGTTCTAAACTACTCCAAACAAAAGGTGTGCGTCAGTGGCACAGTGGTTAGGACTCTCGCCGACCATGCACATGGTCCGAGGTTCGAGCCCACGACGACGCACACCTGATATCTATGGTCGGCCTGCAAAATTTGGGCTATGGATATCACACGCTGAAAATTCCATACTTGTTCCTCTACCAGAACACTGAAGCATAAAAAAGTAGACTAAAGTTTTCGAGAATGTGAAATACGATGATATACCGTCAGTGCCGAAACCTTCATAGCTTTTGAGAGTTCTAATGATTTGGTTAATGTTAGCATAAGTAAACTCAAGGGTACTAATTTGTTTTGGTGTGGGTAAGGGTGCAAGTTGTGCCACATCAGTAGTAAGGTGTATACCAAGTAATGGGACCGTAGTCTTCAGGTAGTTAGTTAAGATGTTCTGCTTAATAATTCACACATGTCTGCAGAGTCAGTGAATAGCCTACCTTTGTCTGTGAGGAGAGAAATGCTGTGATTTTCGCGAATTAATCGCTTCTTTGGGGTTTCTGAGAGAGCATAAACACTAGCAGGACTGACTACTGCGGTGCGTTCTTCATTTCTCATACGCAAATCTCGACCTTGTGAGATGGAGTTAGAGCGTTAAGTATTAAGCCTGGTGTACCAGAGTCGTGGTGTTTGAAGTAACTCTTCGAGCGCCTGTTCACTTTCGTACGACACTTCGGTTTTATAAATGACTTTCTATGTGGAAAAACCCTAAGTGTTTGGAGTGGAATGATAGCATCTAAGCATGTGTTTGAGTTCTGGTAGAAGATGCTCAGAGCTCATCAGTAGTGAAGTATTCACCCCATTCTGAGGATCTTGGCATTGATTCTGCAAAAGCCCAGCTTGCCTTAATATCGTTCCTACATATTACTTGTTGTGAAGTGAAGGTATGAGATGCGTTGCTCCCCAGTGGAAGTGGCAGTGCACACATCACTTTCTTGTGGTCACTACCTGAAAACTTAGAACCCACTAAGATTGAGAGGGGACCTACATCGTTACAGAATATTAAGTCCAGCACGTTTTCAGCTCTTAAAGGGATAGTGACAGATTGTTTCCAACAGAAAATGTTCAATGTACCTAATACCTCGTCATACTTTATTGGGCCTGTTAATAAATCCCAATTGATTGAGAATAGGTTGAAGTCTCCACATATGATCTTATGCTCTTATGGAAGAGTAGATGATTCCTCCAGTGCAATAATGATTTATGTCCCGTAATTCCTAAAGGTGTGGTGGACCTTTTACTCCGTTAGCTTAGTTACCCAAATTCAAATAGAAAATAAAATACCAAATCAGTTTAGTTACGGGAAGAATGTATTAAAGTTTCGTTACTTGGGTTTATAAAGATCCAAAATCCACAATAAACGTAATAGACTCCAGGCGCTGCGGGAAGACTGCTCCAGTACTAATTCTCCAATGTTGACGTTGCCGGAGGTCGACCAAAGTACGTAGGAAGAAACTACGGTGCTCCTGCAAAAATTTGAGATAGAAAGCAGGTGATTAAAATTGATCGACGGCAGTTGAGATGGTGGAGAAGACGGAGAGTCGAAGGCAGAACTATATATTTATTCAAAACCCGAGGTAAAGTTCAAAGTACAGAGTTTATGGTTAAAACAAAGTGATGTACAATATGTTCATTTCTTACATAGTAGTAAAATTTGGATAAGTTTATTTTTGAGGACTCCACAGGGCTCCCCCTCTTAGAGGTCCGGAGGACCATCAGTACTGTCCTCGTGGACGATTACATGAATATAAGCAATATAAATAAGGGACAATGTCAACAATAAGGATAACAAAAAATAACAAAAACAACAACAATAAGGATACAAAGTTAGATCAGGATGTATGGAATGCATCCGTGTCGTATAAAGTTTAGCACATACAAGCACATACAGGAATTTAAAAAAAATCAAAACTTGTTATAATTTTAAATAAAAAATTTATGTACATAATAAACCATGACATGTTCGTTAACATTTGTGAAATTCATATATAAATAGATATATACATATACTTGGTGAATGCGTGTGCTTGCAGTACAGTTAACGAACAGCAAACAATAATACTAATAAATATTTATGGTTATAATGAAATGAATCTCGACAACAATAGTAATGAGAAGAATGTCTAAATGAGGTTAACGTTTATGTCAGTCAATAAAATGAACATAGCGGGCAGGTTTACAGATCTGCCGTCCACTGCGTGTCTGTACAGGGGGAAGTGTGAAGAGCGGGAGAGTTGGAGTTGCATTGACTTTCTGATTGTTTATTGGTGTCGGCGTTGCTAGTGTTTCATATTCGCTGTCGGTGTACGCTGGTTTAAGACGATCGATAGAAACAGTCTCCGGTTTACCATGTTTGTTCAGCGTGAAGTATTTATCGGTGCGTTTAAGTACTAGAAAAGGACCTTCATATGGATGTTGTAAACCTTTTCTAATGGCATCGACGCGAACAAATACAAATTTGCTAGTGAGTAGATTCTTATTAACTTGAGCTTTCTGAAGTGATTGGCGAGGGGCTACTGGTCGAAGCTGGAGCATTTGCTGGGTAAGGCGGTTGGTGAAGTCGGAGATATTTACTTCAGTTGAATCATTAGACGGAACTAACTGACCAGGCAATGTGAGGGTAGTACCATACACAAGTTGAGCTGGTGTACATCCCAAATCTTCTTTTACAGTTGATCGGATACTGAGAAGAACTAATGGTAGGTGTTCACTCCACTTAGATGAGTCAGCTTGTGCCATAAGGGAGCTTTTCAGTTGTCGATGGAAACGTTCCACCAGACCATTCGCTGCAGGATGATAAGCTGTAGTGGAGATATGGTTCACTCCAAGGAGTCTCGTAAACTCTCGAAACAGAGTTGATTGAAATTGAGCTCCTCGGTCTGTTGTAATAGTTGTGGGTACTCCGTAGTTTGACACCCAGCGATCTAAGAAAACCAAAGCGATATTTTCTGCAGATATATCGTTGAGTGGACAAGCAATAGCCCATCGGGTAAATCGATCAATCGCAGTAAGTATATGAGTAAATCCTCTGGATGGCGGTAATGGTCCAATAATATCTATATGAACGTGTTGAAATCGT